TTTTGTTTTTTACTATTAATTTACAACAGTAGAACATTCAGTTTTGTTTTTTACTATTAATTTACAACAGTAGAACAATTCCGTTTTGTGTTTTATTATACAAATAAAGTATCATGCATAATCGTTCCCTTGTTACTTTTACTACAACTTTGAAATATTTTAATTACTTATTTCGTGTGGGGGGGGGGAGTTCCCTGTCTTAATCATACTCGGAATTATGCCTTTTGAAGTGAATGTAAATGATTATTTAAAATATTTTAATTATCGATTTCAATAAAAGACTTGCATATTGTATCCATGTTCTGAATTATTCCCTTTGAAATAACAGTAAATGATTATTTAATGCCTGTATTTAAGAAAAAAATCAGTTAGCAAAATTAGCTAATTCACTATCACCTCCAACCGTTTGACTCGAGTTTTCGGTCAATTTCTGCTTTAAAAAACCCGCCACTTCCAGTACAAATTGTTACAACTGTATCATGAACACCCATACAATACTTAAAACTACTTTCCTGAACAATAACTCTCGCATTATTAACTTTGTTTTATTACCGGTAGGGGGCTCATATATTGGGTAATTTTATGTTTTGGCCTGTTAGAACATTCAATGTAATGAACTGACTAAAATAACAATTAGTGAAATCACACGTGTCTTATACACATATATATTGCGAACCGTGGTATCTACCCGAACGTTCGTCTGTCTCCGGTTTACGGCAGCTGCTTCCCGCGCAGCGTTTGCAAAGCTGCGCACGCAGGCAAAGCTCAACATTTACTTTTGAAATGACGGAGAACAGGTATGAATAATCTTGATGTCAAATTTTATTTCGCAAGCAGAATATTCTACACTAAGTTGTTACGAATTAATCACACTATCGTTCACATTTCAAAATGTGACGTAATTTAAATAACAAAATGTGGATTTAAGGTATGTTATTGTTGAGCGGCTCTTAACATGACTGAAATGCTCAACAATTACTTTTCATAGTGGGCAGTATAAGTAGCTCAGAGCTTTGTCTGTGAGTGAAACCAACAGTGTAACACAATTAACCTTTTTAAAGTCCCTGAAATAATTTAAATTGATATATTAACTTAAACTTTTTTCATCACTGGGGACGGGTACTTTTGCTTGTACTATAGAAAATAAAGAGGAAACTATGAGTATTTGGTGGGATTAATTGTAATATTAATGGTATTTGTAATTTTTGTCCGAATCGCATGTTATTAGGGACTCTCTGAATAACAAATTTATGGACCCACAAGCAATTGGTGCATAAATAGTTCAGAAATGTGTGTTCAAAAAGCTGGTTGTATGTGTGAGTTTGTGGGACCATCATGTATTCCATCAGTAATTCTAGGATGACGTAGAATAACAACAGTTAACTTAGTAAACGAAACGTTGCCGAAGTTATCTTAATATATAACGCTGTACAGTAGTATATCACTAATTTCAATCTCTAATAGTTTAGGGCATAGCCCTAATTGACAGCGTACCCGGGCTTTTAATCCGAGGATTCTCCGTTCTTGACTCATCGCGCCAAAAATTCTCACCCCAATTTGGGACCGCCAATTTGGTTTATTTTAGCTCAAAGCCACACATTAGTATCTGCGCTCTATCAATTGCAGCGAATCGAACCCACAATTTTAACGTTGTAATCCCGCGAACTTACCAACCGAGGGACTCACTATTCGGTGCTGTTGCCCAGCTGCTTTCCCTGTCAGTTCAAAATTAATGACGACTGTACGCAGATAGCCCTCGCGTAGCTTTTTACGAAATTCTGAAACAAACCAACTAACACCCTTAAAGCCATTAACACTTACTTCAATGGCAGCTGTTTTTCGGACGAATTCTGGGCAACAATTTCCTAGAATACCACCTTACAAAGACAGGCCATGTGTACTGGATAGTACTGTTAAAAATAAACATAAGGACTTAAACCTACGATGATTAAATAATTCTGTTCCGTTAACCTGGTTGGAAATATCAGGAAAGATGGCAACTGGTTTTTTAAATAAATGTACAAAGTCAAATAATGGAAATTTTTATGTTTTCTCTGACTTTATTCTGTACTCTAGAATAAAATCATATGTTGAAGAATTTCAAAATGGCAGTCTGGCGCAGATAGCCACGTCCCTTTGCGCCAATAAACCCCAAACACCACCTCGTAGAACAGAACGGTAACTCTCGAAGGGTGTCCTAACTGATTAAATTTTACACCTACTACTGCTTCTCGCAGTTCACTATGTTGAACGACACGTGTTTTTTTAAACGAACGGACCCGTCATTAACAAGCGGTAAATGTATAATCAGTCTGCCCCTAACAATAGTAGTCCTGCAGCAACGAAACTCCTAAGCGAAAAGGCGAGAGAGGTACAAGATTACACGAAGTTAATAACATGTAAAGAATAATCAATGCTCTTAGGGTAGGATTTCGATTAACTTGAAGGAGCAGAAGTTCTCCTGAAGTCTGTTTGTTTTGGAATTTCGCGCAAAGCTACACGAGGGCTATCTGCGCTAGCCGTCCCTAATTTAGCA